AGTACCACAGGGATCAGTTTGAATCTACTTAATTGCTCTTTATCTCACGGTTACACTTTAACACTTCCATTGAAGAAGATATAATAGGATTGAATTACAGCATTCCAGATTTTATTGTCAGAAAAGTGTGGTGTTTTTTGGAGGTTCATTCCGTGCATTAGGATTATCGCAGCTTTTCAGCACAATGTGAGACAATTTTCAAAAAAGGTCAATTTCACATATCATGTTTGTAAAATTTTAGAGCTTTTTATATTAACTTCAGAGCACACACAGATTCACTTCCTACTCTTCCACTCCCCTTCACACCCTCTGGTTCTGGAATACCCATGGTTACGTAAGCACAACCCCTACATCTCCTGGTCCAACAACAAACTTCTAGCCTGGGGTACTCAATGTCTCACTCTGTGTTGTCAACCTCCCTTATGACTTGACCACGCACCTTTCTCAGGAAGAAGCTACCAAGATCCCTTCTTCTTACTCTGATCTCCACCTGGCCTTCAACAAACAAAGGGCATTATCTCTACCATCCCACTGTCCCTATGATTGTGCCATTGACTTACTTCCAGGAACTCTACACCCTAAAGGGAAGAGTCTGACGCCTTTGAATCTTATATCCAGGAGTCATTAAAGTCCGGCTTCATTCGGCCTTCTACCTCTCCAGCCTGTGCAGGATTCTTCTTTGTCGGAAAGAAGGATGGATCCCTACAACCCTGCATTGACTACCGGTGGCTCAACGAGATCACCATTAAGAACCAGTACCCCTTTCCACTCATGTCCTCAGCCCTTGAATCTGTTCGGGGTGCCACCATTTTTACTAAAGTTAACCTTCGGGGTGCCTACAACTTGATTCGCTTTTGTGAGGGGGACAAGTGGAAGACGGCATTCATCACCACCTTTGGCCATTACGAATACCAGGCGATGCCTTTTGGCCTAGTTAATGCACCCACCATCTTCCAAATTTTTATGAACGACATTTTCAGGGACATCATTCAGAGATATATCTTGGTCTATCAGGACGACATTTTAATTTTCTCCTGCAATATTCAGGAAAATATCTCCCATGTTCGTTAAGTCCTCTCTCGCCTCATCCGAAACAACCTACAGTATATGCCAAGCTGGAAAAGTGCACTTTTCATCTTTCTAAGGTCCACTTTCTAGGATATATAATTTCACCGCTCAGGGTTGACATGGACACAGCAGAGGTTTCGGACATCCGGGACTGGCCTACTCCCAAGAACCTAAAGCAAGTACAACACTTCCTGGGTTTCACACATTTATATCGTTGCTTCATCAGGAATTTTAGCCTTATTGTAGCACCTATCACCCCTCTAACATGTAATGGCCCCAGACAGGGCAAGTGGACCCCTGAAGCAGATAAGGCCTTTAATCATCTCAAATAGCACTTTTCCACAGCACCAATTCTCCGTTACCCAGACCCTACACATCCCTTTGTACTTGAAGTCGACATCTCAGCCCATGGCGCCGGAGCCATATTGTCACAACACTATGGAGAAAAAGGGTATCCTCCATCCTTGTGCCTTCTTTTCTAGAAAACTCTCCCCGGGAGAAGCTAAGTACAACGTTGGGAACAGGGAACTTCTGGCCATCAGGCTCACCCTGGAAGAATGGAGGCATTGGCTACAGGATGCCCAACATCCTTTCACTATCCTAACTGACCACAAAAACCTGGCTTACTTACAGTCGGCTAAACATCCCGATCCTACCCCAGGCAAGATGGACTTTATTCTTCTCCAGATTCCACTTATTTATCACCTATACCCCAGGCTCCGCGAACATCAAAGCTGACTCCCTCTCCAGCCTTCACAATTCCTCTGTGACGGAGACCCCCCACCCGAACCCATCATACCCTCCGGCAAGGTTCTTGCAGCTGTATATTGGGACATTGAAGATCAGGTTAGAATTGCCCTTCAAGGCTACTCTATACCCCCCAATTCCCACCCCACTGGACAAACTGGGGTCATGATTTCCGCTTCGCCGGCTACCCGGGCAAGTGTCCTACCTACATTGTAAACAAGTCCTTGGACATTCGATGGCACAGAGGCTCCCGGCAATTCCTGATTGTCCACGAGGGGTACGGTCCTGAGGAGCGCTCCTGGGTTCCAGAGGCTGATATTCTGGACCGAAGTCTGATCGAGGATTTTTTTCGCACCCATCCCAATCCATCCGCTGGTGTGTCAGGAACTGCCTCTGAGGGGTGGTACTGTAACACATTCTACACGGCGTTCATATTCCCACACGCACACATTCCACTCACTCTCACATACCCACGCACACCAGCTTTCATAAACGCTCATGCTGTAATTATCCTATCAGTTTTCTCTCCCATCACTATTTTAGTTCCTCCTTCCCCTCTTACTTGCTCACTATTGTGGTTAGTCCCCCTGAGCTCACGTAGTGCGCGTTGTCTCTCATCTTCTCTGGTTGTGGATTGTTTACTGACCTTTGCCTGTTTCCTGGTTTTCGCTCACGCCGTTAGGATTTGGATTTGTTGTCTTGCATCTACTGCCCTCTTCTGTTTTTTTGACTTATTGCTCATTTTCTGGATTTTGGATGCTTGATTAGCATTTTGGACTTCTGGCTATTGTGTTTGTGGCTTCCCTTGTTTTAGCCCTGCACAGGATCTATTTTCTCTTCCTTTTTGTGATACCTATGTACAGTATACCATGGGCTGTTTTAATAAATAGTATGCCAGATTTTCAATGTTACATTTATATGAAAGTATACGTTGTTAAAACCAAATAATTAACTTTTGTGAGGTGAAATACTTAAATGTATTTCAGTAATATTGAAAGTATTGCAAGATAGCCTGCAGTATGTGTACTAGTTCAAGAATTTGCCATTTTAATGTGGAGGAGAGAAGTAAAAAAAATGACATTTTGATATACTGTATATATTTTTACATTCCCACATTTGCTGCTTTTACCATTCATTTTACATTAGGTAGTGAAAATAGCTTTTTATATTAAAACCTGTTACACAAGGGAAAACAACATACAAAATCAGATATTTTGTGAATGAGCATTTTACGGAGCATAGTACCCTGCTTGGTTTGGTGTAGCCCCCTGTCCATAGGACAAGGAGGCCTGAGTCCCATTTAGATAGGTGTTAACCAAGGGGAGCTATAAAATGGAGATGGGGTGGAGGAGGATAAGACAAAAGGTGGAAAAGACAAAAGCAAAAAGTAGTGTTTGTATTAGATATATATAGCTAATTTTAGTAATGATTATGATTAGAAACAGCTGGGGTGAGATTGTCTTGTAGTCGCTATCCTGCTTGAACTTGGGTTAATAACTTCCAAAAACTTTTTTAAAAAATTAAAAACTTTAATTGTTCCCCTTTTTTCTGTTTATGACCTCCAACTGTTTGTGTGCATTGTTTTTCTGTCGGGGTAGTTTGGTTATCTGTTGTATTATTACATGCAAGGCACGATACTTGAGATTAGTACAAATTCAACATTAATATATATATATGCGTTTATAATTAATATTGCAGTCGACCACATAAGGAAAGCAGGGTTTTAGTAATTAAATATGCAAGAGGAGTACAAATATTTTCATAACTGCTATAAAGACCAAAGGTTGGGATGGAAAGTATGCTATGGATAATATCTGAAAGGTACAAATTACAAAATGTAAATAGTTTTTTTCAGAATTTTGCTTCAGAATTTCTTGTATGTATACATACTGTAGAATGAATGGAGAAACTTTAGAAGAAAAGTAGTCTGTCGTTAAGAGAAGGGGGAAGGTGTGATCCTAGCTGCAGGATAATTTTGGTTTCTGTAGTCTTTCTGATGAATGAGTTTGGAAAACCATCTGAGAACACAGACGGAGAGATTAGAGTGGTCATAGCCGTCAGAGGTGAAATGAGAAACAATGGGCTTGGAGAGATCTTTAATCACAGCCCTAACATGTTCTCTGAAGTGGTCTCCGAGTCTCCTTCCTGTTTCTCCAATGTAGATGGCTGGGCATTTACTACAAGAGATACAGTAAATAAGGTTGCTGGAGGTACAAGATGCCATCTGTGTGATCCGGAATTGACTTGAGGGGCCTTGAATGAGTGTGGTGTTAGACGTGTACTTGCAGGTGATACAGCGAACTCTGTTGCAAGGGAAAGTGCCTGGTGTAGATGGTTGCTGAGGGCGGTCAAGGGAGCTATGAACAAGAAGGTTGCGCAGATTAGGTGGTCGGCGATATGAGATGGGGCGGTCAGAAGAGAGGGCCCCAATGGTGGGATCATCCTGTAGGATGGAAAAGTTGTCGTTAATACTCCTGGGGACAGGAAGTGTGTTGGGGTGGTAGGGAAGCACCAAAGGAATGCAGTTGTTACAGCGGGAGTTCATGATTGAGTTGATGGTCCGAGGGGTGTTTTTGGCTCAGGCAAGGGCCCTGTCAATAACACTGCTGGGGTATCCTCTGTTGATGAAAAAGGAGTACATTTTGAGAGCTTTGTTCTGGAAGTCGATGTCGTCGCAGCATAATCGTCGTAACCGAAGGAACTGTGAAAAGATTTTCTCCATTCATTGATGGTTTAATTTCACACCTCTCTACACCTATTCTGACTTCACACCTCTTGATTGGCCTCTCTTTCTGTCCCCTGCTCGCCGTGTCTCACTCCTCCTCTCTCCCAGCCTTTGTTCTCCCGCTACATTACCTTTGCTTACTGCCTTCTCACGCCTAAAGAAGTCTCCATGGCCAAAAAGTGTTTTCTTTCTTCTTTTTTGCAGCATGTAATTGACACAGCTACCCATCTGAACTACTACATACGTACATTGTCTTAAATAAATAATTTGAAAACCAATCATAATCTCTTCAGATAGGCTGATCTACATATTGTAGATGTGCACATACTGTATGTGCATGAAGAAAATGTTAGACACATTTAAAATGCTACTTTTAAATGAGTTCTTTCAACTATCATTAGCAATTCTTTAGAAAGATCTTACTATTAGCATACCTGTTATTCTTTTTCTTGTTTTTTAGCTCCTTCGCCAGTCAGCTTTGTAAAAAAAGGAAAAACTGCAAAGAACAGCATCTTTGTGTCATGGCAGGAACCAGACCGTCCCAACGGTATCATTTTGGAATACGAGATCAAATATTTTGAAAAGGTAAGAACATTTTCAGCTTTGTTGTCTCTTATTAATTCTTCTCTTGGCAAGTTTGCGATGTTATAAAATACTAATATCATGTTCAAACTGTAGAGAGAATTTGTCAGCCTCCTTCGTCTAAGATTGTGCTGAAAGGAAAGCTCTGATCTAACTGAGATTTAGCCACATTTGTGCTTGGGTGGGTTAAAAGTTCATGTACTCAGTGTCTGTTGACTGGCTCCCATATTGAAATCTGGTAGTGTTCATTGTGGACATGAAGTGCATACTTGCGGGTTACCTTAGTTACCGCTTGGCATCTTTACATTCAACAGGTTAAATTAACTCTTTAATTAATGATATCCAAATTTAAGTTCAAATGAGATACGTCACCATACTGTATAACAATAATTATTTTTAATTACTTTCAATATATGGAATTTTTAATGATTGTGTATAAATAGTAATTAGTATCATAATTGTATTTCATGTTTTAAATCTAAACAGCACATTATATGTAATATTTTATATTGTTGTTATTATTCTAATTATAGCACATTTAAAGGTAGCATCTCAAAGTGCTTTACTGTAGGTGTAAAAAACTGTGGAAACATTGGAAATCGTACTCTATCACAAGTAAAGACTTCTGTAATACTTGCCTTCACTTAGATGCAGTTATTTACACCACTGTCTTGTAAGTGTTTTGAGCTGTGCATGCTTCAATAACATAATTGCTAATTGCAAAATTTACAATTTCAGTTCTTTTGATTTTTATATAGTCACTCTGTGAAATTCCTTGTTTTCTGAGAATTAAGTGCTGATCCAGGATCCATGCATGCTACACAGTCCTCTTTTAGAAAAAACTTTATAATCACATTTTAAAATGGTAGCTAGGCTATGTATTTTATATGTTTATAGTTAGAGAAAAAACAGAAGCCACCATTTCAGTAACATCTAACATAATGCAAGTGCCACCTAGTAATCTGTTTTGAGCTGTGAATGGCTGAAAGCAGTATTCCGAACAGGACTGTGGTGCACAAAAGAGTGCTTTCTACTGTAGTGAGTTTAAAATTGTCTTTAAAAGACATAAAAGCAAAGTCCTATTGATCTTCATTTTTAAATACATCACCTCACAGCTACGAACTATGCTTTTCTATTAACTAAAAAGACACAACATGTCAGCCAGTTCTCCCAACACCACAACATGGAAGCCAGTCTGAAGAAGGCACAACAGTGCCTCCACTTTTCGCTGTGCCTTAAGCCTCACCGCTACACTAAAGACTGAACTTTTACTGCAGCACCATAGAAAGTGTCCTCAATAGTGGCAACGCTGCCTCTAGTGGTATGGTATGGCAATACTATCATACACGATAAAGAAGCTGTACAAATGATTGTGGCAAAAGCACAGGGGATTACAGGATGTGACTTACCATCAATCGATTAGATTCAGCCCATCCCCTGTCGCAATAAAGCCCAATCCATCATTCAGGATTCCAACCATCCTGGCCACAAACTCTTCTCCCCCTTGCATTCTGGTAAGCGGAACCATACCATCCCAGCACAGACTACATGAACTACGAATAACTTCTACCCTATGGGAGTGTGCATCCTTAACAGTCAATTGCGCAGTGCCTCAGAATTCAGTGCACCTCTGCTTTCTGCACTTGTATTTGTTGCTCTGTTTATTTATTGTGTGTACTCTACATTCTATCATTATTTATTACTGACTGTTTTGTAACATACTATTTGGTGGTGTTATCTGTTGTACTGTGTTGTCTGTAATACTGTGCATGTCCTGAGAGAACGGCTCGAGTAAGAATCCTATTATACACATACATTTGGTAAAAACTGCTCTATCTGTCTAAGAATCAGGCTTTTGAAGAACAGCCAGGCCTACAACAAAAGTACATAATGGAATCTTTCAGTGCCAGAAGTATTTATAGTAACTTTATCAAGAATGTTAAAATTGTTTAAAATACGGTGAAAACATTCAACCACTGAAATACTAAATAACATTGTTTTGGTTTAGCCAGAGGATCAAAAGGTAAATGATTAGTCCCAGTTTTGTACCGGTCTTAACTGTAAATCCATGTTTGACTTTGGTTTGGGACATTGTTGGATATATAGCCCCTTTGTAATGTAAATATTTTTCTTCTTTTTTGGTGTATTAGGATCAGGAGACCAGCTACACCATTATAAAATCAAAGGACACAGAGATCACTGCAGATGGCCTGAAGCCTGCTTCAGTTTATGTGTTCCTAGTCCGAGCTCGTACTGCAGCAGGATATGGAGAGTTCAGTCGTAGATTTGAGTTTGAAACTAGCCCCTTTTGTAAGTAATTCTTATTTTTTAAATCAAGAGGTGTTGGGATAGTATTTTTGATAACATTTGCCTGCTTCAGAAAACATTACAGTCTTGTAAGATATTAACTCATACACACTAAGGAAGCCCTAGACTTGCTTTATTCAAGCCTTTCAAATGTGGCCTCTGATGACATGGCTAGTGCATAAGAGTTGTCCATTAAAGATATCTGTCAAAGATTGGCATGGTGAACAGCACAATTGCACAGTGTTTAGCATTGCTGTCTTGCATTTTCTGGGCCCCTGGTTTTAATTACTGAGCTCCTATTTATGTGGAGTTTGTATGTTCTCCCCAGGTACATGTGGGTTTTCATTGGGTGCTTCAGTTTCCACCCACAATCCAAAGACATGCAATGGTAGGCTAATTGGCTTCTGGGAAAATTGGCTCTGGTTGGAGCGCATTTGTGTTTGTGTCTATGTGTACATTGCACTGGACATGCATCCCATCCAGGGTGTATCCCACCTTGTGCCCATTGCTTATCGGGATAGGCTCTTGCTCACCAATGACCCTATCCTGGATATAGCAGTTAGAAGTGGATGAATTTGCATGATGTTGTCCTTAGTGAAGGAAAACTCTCAGTGGTTCTGATATTGCAAAAAATATTGATGGAGTCATAAGCAGCACTATTAGTACTAAAGGCTTTTCATCATACCTGAATAATAATTTTTGATAGTTACACATTTTTCTGCAGTCTTCATTTAGTACATCATACATTGTGTCATTAAATGGTAGTATTTTTTCATTAATCCTATTGAAAAAGTTATAGCTGATTAGTTTATATAACATTGTTGCACTTCTAAATATGTACAGTATGTTATGCTCATATTTCACCCTGTACAAATAAATAGGGATTTTGTTACATTCAGAATAATGTTTGTGACAATCATATTTACGGTGCTTTTAGAATAGTTTATACTGTTTATCTGTGTTTAACTGTGTAGTTATATTTACAGCATAAATCAAATATATTTAGACAGATGTGAAAGAAAAGTGGTCTCAGTGGCTTCATTATTGTACTGAACACCTATATTTTTCTCTGCAGCACTTCACCCAGTATACAAGGATTCACATCTGACTTTTATTTTGCCAGAACTGCATTTCTTATTTAATTGGGCACTCATAATATGAAACCCTCAGGGGGAGGAAGTTATTTTTAGAACTCTTATTGGTAAGGCCTTCTAAAACTGGGGAGAGGCAAAGCATCTCTTTCGTTATGAATAACAATACATTACATTTATATTGGGCATTTCATCCCAAAGTTCTTTATATATATATACTGCATACATCAATATGATTGCAAACATTAGAGAATGGAGAATGTTAAGATCTGCAACATTTTTAGAACTTAGTTACTTTTGACATTCTGGGTGAAGATGTAAGTGGTGATCTTTTTGCCTTGTCAGTGTTCACCTCATGGCTCTTTGCTTTGCTTGTCCCCAGTAGTAGCTGCATCTAGCGACCAGAGCCAGACCCCAATCATTGCTGTTTCAGTCACTGTGGGAGTGATCCTCTTGGCAGTGGTTACTGGGTTTCTCCTCAGTGGAAGGTAAAGTTCCATATACTTTCACACTTATTCTCTACTTCTTAGAATCATGATAAATATGTCTGCTCAAAATCGATACCCAGGTAGACTTATTGAATGATCAGTAAAAAAGAAAAAAAATGTTCTTGAATCTGGGACGACTAAGAATAGTTTGCCAAAATGATTCTCTTGGAGTGAAATCAGGGATTTTATGTCTTGCATATGACCACAAATTTCATATCATTTGCTGTCTCTGTTGGCTGCTCTCTGGTCAGTTATAAAAAAATCAAATTTAGTAGTCTGATGCATGTCACTTTTACTTAAACACATGAAAACACCTGTTTGTTTGTGGAGACCAGGAACTTTTAGATCACCACACTAGTCATTGAGTTAAATAAGAGAATTAAATGCTTTGAGTAGATAAGAGAGGACTCAGAATTAAATTTCCATAATTGTGAGTTTGCCTTCTCTCCTTGAAATTAGTTATGCTCCATTGCATAAGGTGAACTTTTAACTTGTTGAGCTCATCCAACATTTAGTTTTCATTTAGATACTCAAGTTAACCAGCAACTGGAAATAATTTTAATCCCACTGAATACAAATGTATGTTTTGCATATTGCAGAAAGGTTGTACCTTTGAGGATATTATGTACATACCTGTATAGAGAAATAGAAAATAAAAAGTGCTCAACTTTAAAGTAACAGTGTGTAGAAAATTCAGTTTGCTTTTGGTAATCAGATTTGTAATAATATAATAATCTATCATATATAATAATATAATAATAATAACAAATGTTATTATATATATTTTATAACCAATCACAGAATGTGTGCTTTGACACATTAGTGGCTATCACCTGATTAATTTGTTGGCTAAATATGGTTAAACTGGCAGACAAGTCTCTAAGAATTGTCAGGGAATCTTTCACGACAACTGTCATCTATCGTTGTTCAGATAACATTTAAGGACTACATATTTCTAAAAGGCATCTTTTATTTGAATTTACAGAAACTTGGAAAAATATTGTACTATCAGCACAAATTTTAATTACAGTTTAAAACAAAAGATGAGAAAAAGCTTTCCTTTTAAGAATAAAATAACACTTTTCTGTCAATCTGGATTTAATAATAATATGTGTTATCAGTATGCCTTAGATTATCTTTTCTTTTTTCCAATAAAATGTATGTTTGCATTCCCATAGATCACCCTCTTGACTTTTTACTTATTACATTTTTTCAGGGAGAGCTGTAGTAGGTTAACACATGTCAGAAATCAAGTTCAATTTTGTGAACCACTTCTTTTTTTATTAGAGACCATGTTTGTGAAGACAATGTTAGTTTTAATTCAAATGAACAGAATTCATACAGGGACCTGAATTTCTGTTATTGCAATGAATTTGTTGTAAAGTTTACATTATTATTAGCCAAGTATTGTTTTATTTTCTTGTGAAACCCAATATAATATTTTTTCTAGAGATATTTCTTTTTCATTTTTACCTCAAGTTGGATCAGTAGGATAGCTGAATTATCATAATTCCAGTTAAAGTTAAACATTTTGTTTTATATCTTAACCAAAGGCATGAGTATATCATGTTGTCCATATGTATAGCTGCTATCCATGTTTCTACTGCTGTTATCTCAAATTATAGATTATTTTGGATTAGAAATCATATAATGCCAATACTGGTATATGGCTGTTAGTGAGGAAAGAGTCCAAGTGAAGTCAAGCAATGACTGCATGAAAACTTTTTTGGCTTTATATCTTGTTTTGAAATTAACAACATATTTTACAGTAAAATCTCTTAGACATTACTAAGAAATTAGCAACTTGCTTACTAGTAATCAATAATAATAGTAATAATAATAATAAACTTTATATTATATAGCGCCTTTAAAGGTGGCTTCTCATAGCGCTTTACAGGATGACAACAACAATAAATAAGAAGAATACACAAGATAAAACATAATTACAATATATAGAGGAGACCGTGGATGGTGGTACCAAGAAAAGCAGAGGGGTGAAGAATGGAACCAGTTAAGTAAAGGCTTTTCTGAAGAAGAGGGTTTTGAGTCTGGATTTGAAGGAGTTTAAAGGTGACTCTGATATCCTTGGGGAGAGAGTTCCAGAGCAGGAGAAGGCCCTGTCACCCATACAATGTAGACGGGCTTGGGGGACATTAACAAGAGCAGAATTAGAAGAGTGAAGGTTGCGAGATGGGGAGTGGGCCATAATAGTTCAGACAGGTACTGAGGTGCCAAGTCATGCAGAGCCTTATAGGTGAGCATGAGCATGACAATGCAAGTCTACATGGAATTTGACCGGAAGCCAGTGCAAGGACTCCAGGATAGGAGTAATGTGAACACTTGCACTAGACCTGGTCAGGATTCTGGCTGCTGAATTTTGGACATACTGCAGTTTGTTCGGAGTAGATTTAGATACCCCAGCGAGTAGAGCATTACAGTAGTCAATTCGAGAGACCACAAATGTGTCAATCAGCTTTTCAGCCACAGTTAGTGATAGCATAGGGCATAGTCTAGCAATATTTCTGAGGTGAAAAAAAGATGTTTTGACAGTATGCTGCACATGTGGGTCGAATGTTAAGCCAGAATCGAATATAACCCCAAGGTTTTTCAATTTTGATTCAAGCTCAAGTACAGAACCATATACAGATAGGGTTACAGGACTGGCTTTACGAAGTTGATGGGGGGTACCAATAAGCATGACTTCAGTCTTGTCACAGTTAAGATGAAGGAAGAGACAGCCACATCAGTGTCAGGTTTGGTATGGATGTACTGTATATTTGAGTATCATCTGCGTAAAAATTAAGCTGAGGCCATGTGATTTCTAAAAGCTGACCAAGTGGAAACATGTAAATGCTGAAGAGCAAGGGGCCCAGTATTGAGCCCTGAGGAACACCAGACTTAACAAGACCAATTTCAGACCTGTACCCATTAAGAGAGACAAAGTGAGAGTGATCAGTGATGTAAGATTTGAACCATTTGAGAGCAGTGTCAGAAACTCCAAACACAGTCTCAAGATGAGAAACTTAAGATGTTATGGTCAACAGTGTCAAAAGCAACACTGAGATCAAGAAGGATGAGTACAGAAAGAGAACCAAAATCAGAAGCTATTAGAAGATCGTTAGTGACTTTGACCAGGGCAGTTTCTGTGCTGTGAAGTTGACGGAAGCCAGATTGGAGGGGTTCGAAAAGGTTGTTTGTCATGAGGTGGTTATGTAACTGAAGTGTGACAGCACATTCTAGAATTTTACGTTCTAGAATCACAAATTCTAGTGTGATTTCCAGGTGCTTTATTAACTGAACACTTCACCATGCGCAGAAAAAAGAGAAAGTATATACAAATTATATTCATATAGGTACCATATATCTTCAATATTTTTGTAGACACCATGTAGTACCAGTACCATGTAGTCATTCACAATGAATATCCAGGAAGCCAAACAAGTAATGATATCCTGTTTTACATATTCATCATTTACAATATAAATGCCCTAGAATATCGTTTTTTTCACTGAATTTTCACTCAGGTTCCAGTCTCAATTTCTTTGTTCTGCCAGCAGAATTTATGTAAAATCTGATTTACAGTACTGTCCGTCTTCTTACTAATTTTGATGTACATGTTTATACATATGAATCACGAAGAGCATATGTTAAATTTAATAATAAAGGTCTCGAGTAAGGTCAGGCTAACAAGATCACTAAATTAACTTTAACATGCAAGTCAGTCCTGTATTGGATAAAGCAGTTAGAAAATGGATTGATGTAGGTCAGTAACACCTATGAATTCTTCAAGGAGTAATGTATAAAATATATAAAAGCTATGTTTATGAAAGGAAGAAAATAGATGGACAAACAGGCAGACAAACAGGTATATCCATTACAGGTAATATTGGTGTTGTAATGCATGTCTTTAGAAAATAAAGTAAAGCAGTTACATTTCTGAGGCAAACTCACTTTTTGGCTGTCTTTGAAAATGGCATGTTCGCTATTTCTATTTGTCTTTGAGCTGTTATGTGTCATTTGATGTTGTCAGGTTCTTACAGTGGCAGATGCAGAGAGTTAGAGAGAACAAAAACTTCCAGTAACATCACAGTAGTCGCATGAACACTGCAGAGAACTTATAACCCTTACATTGTTTAAAAGAGACCTGTCACTTCTCAAGGACAAAGCAACTTTTGAAGTAAATAAAAAGTTATAACATTTTGGCAAGCAAAACAGAAAACTCAAAAACTGGAGTTCATTCAATTCTATTCTGAATCCACAATGTCTAAGTGTAAACATCTTTAAAAAGAAATAAAGAGCATTTGGTTTGAGTTATTTTCTGCAAATCAAGCCATCTGTGTGTACAGAGAGAGGGTAATAGTGTAGTGTCTTTTTGTGTTTTACCGATGGGCATAAAAAGTAGATCGGAAAATTCCATGGCAGTAAACCCATATTTTGTCAATAATTCTAAACTTGAAAGCATGTTTTGCACAAATGCTCACCCTCTTTTATTAATCACCAGAAGTGGTCTGCATTTTCTGTGCTAACAGAGATAGTACCAAAAGCCAGATGGGTTTCTCATAGTAAGGATATACAGTAGCTCCAAAATGTGTTTCTTAAGGCAGGCACACTTGCATTTTTATAAATCAATTACAGTTATACCACACGATGAAAAAGTTTGAAAATCCTGACACATTTTAGGAAAACATATAGAAAATGAGATGTTTATAATGGCATTTACTTTTTAATGTGTGTCCATTAAACCTTTAAGGTGACAGCAATAAGAGTTTTTTTAAGTTATTCATCTGCACTTTAACATTATACTGTAGCATTCAATTCTGCTGTGGATAGTTATCAGGTTAGCAAAAGCATAATTTATTTATGCATGCCATGTAATGCTGTAGAAATATGCAAATCTGCAACATGAATATTAAAAATGAATTTCTTGTATTTGACTGTTTTATTTTAATGTCACTTAGGGATAGATGCTTGTATATAGCTGATGGTGGGAGAACATGAGGGAGTCTTTCTTTTGGCATGCAGTTAACCAATCCATCAATGCTGAACTGAACACTCGCTCTTGCCACAGGGGAAAGAGCAGGAGATTCAAGCCAGCAACTTCAGTTCATTTAGGGTTAGCATAGATAAAGGCTTCGTATCTTAAATTAGCAAAAGCAGTCAACATCAGCTCCCGGTTACAGAGTGTTTATTTTCAGGCTCAAGAGTCTCATATGTAATTCAATGTAGGTATCCCCTCTGTGATTCTAGAGGTAGCCATTCCACAGACAGTCTTGAGCAATAGTTCTCAAAGTCATGGAAAGAAAAAGGTAAAAAATATCTGTCGATTTTATTGCTGTTGTCAGAATATACTTATGACCGTCTGAGCCATAGGCTTTTTTCATTGACGTCTACAATGATTTGAACATCAATATTCCAATAAAACACTTAACTCAAGTGTATTTTAAAATAATTGTATTCATCCCATAATGCTGTGCTGCATATGCTTAGTGCCCTCACATCCGTATCTCTGTTGCCATTCCTATAATTCCAAATGAAAAAAAAAATGTGTTAACAGGAACTGTCCACTTTGAAATCTTGCAGGAATAAAAAAAATACTGTATATACATTAAGATCTTATACAATATAATAGTCTTATACAATGCATTTTTTTAAAAGTTCAAATTAAGATGCAAGTCACTCCCTTATAATCTTATAGTTGATGTAACTATGTGTGTTACTTTGTGTTAACAGTGACAGATAAACATACTGCCGCCAGGCAACAACAACATTTCCAAAAAGAGCTCATTTTAGGTTCATGCTGGTTACCAGTACGTGTGAAAAGGATTGTGGAAAGATTTCCCTTTTTAAAATGATGTGCTCTACTTGTTTTATAGGCGCTGTGGCTACAGTAAGGCTAAGCAGGATCCAGAGGAAGAAAAGATGCACTTTCACAATGGTCATAGTAAGTCATCTGAAAAACAATTTCAGATGTTAACTTGAAGTTCAGAGTCTAAACTTAGCTATAAGCTGGATATCTTATAGATCAGGCCTCTTTTTGTTACATGTCCATATCCAGTCTAATATTATCATTACAGCCCTTTAATTTATATTATAATATCCCTGGTATAACTATAATTTTATTTTTACTGAAATAAGGAGGTCTTTAACTATATAACTTCTTTCTTCTTGTACAAAAAAAAACATACTAAATTAACATAAAACAAACATGTTCACTATATTAAATATACAACAGAACTAATACAACTAACTATCAATATATCAAGTCTGAAAACTGTAAAGAATCTACACATTTACATTACAGTTACATTAGTATATAATTATTATGCAAAATACAACTGTGTTCTATAACCAGGGTTATTTTATATAGGAAGTAATACAGTAACTGTGCATCCTACCCAGGATACTTCTGCTTACTTTAACATGATATAGAGGCAGATTAACAGATCAGGTGCTTACTTTTTCTATTTTAAGTTAACTGTTAGATGGCGAGATAATATGCATTTCATGTTTTCCTTATTCATTGTTAACAAGACCATGTCATAATGTCCACTTTATTACAGTACACTAGAACTGACTATCATTGTTCACAGGGACAAAATATAGTCAGTTGGACAACCTGTTTCTAACTAAAAGTGTATTTCAGTAATTCTGCATATCTTATTTAGAGACTTGTGGTCAATTGCGACAAACAAAAGAAATACAAAAGAAATTACAGTATCATTAGTTACAGATATTGTGTTTTCTTAGTCCTTCAGGACTAGACTAAATTAACATGATAGTTCTAATTACAGTGAACCTTGTCTTTAATGGTAGTGCCCAAGTGTGAACTAAGAGTTCCAAATTGCAACAAGCTCCAACAAACACGGTTGCCACCTAGATATCTCTGATATAGTAGATTTTATTAATAAAACCATCAGACACTTTAGACTAAGTTACACAGTTCCTGTACAAACTACAGTGCAGTGAGTATTACAACAATGCTGCATTTAATTAATTGTTGAGGCATTATGAATGAAATGCATTGAATTGAGAATATTGTAGTTTATCAGATTGTTTAAAGTTTAACATTAACTAAAAAGATAGATATAGAAATATGCCTCTGGTGTTTTCAGATATTTAAATATATGAGGATTGTACGTTTTTTTTCCAATATGTTAATGTGAGCATTTTAAGGTTAAGAACATTTAACTACCAGCATAGATTAGCTATACTGCAGTTGAAATATCTAACAGTGCAGAGTTACGGGTTTGCTTATAATTGTTTTCCTCCTACCTATAGGTTAATAAAGCTTTTACTTGTGTGATTTGTGGAGATGAGGTACAATATCAATAGATTTTCAGCAAGAAAATGTACTCAATATAGAAGTATTGATCTGTTTACATCCACCCAGGCGGCACAATTAAGCTAAATGTCATGCACTGAACAGAAAAACTATATTGATCCTTCAAGAAACAGACACAAGATTTGAAGCAATGTGGAAAAGATGTATTTTTTATTAGTTGTCTACTACAGTTCATGGATAAAGACATGAATGTGTCATATGTACAATTTGGCATTATATACAGAATATGAAGTTAAGTTGGTGTTTACATTGTTAACAGAATTTTTTTGGTGAAATATTCCATTTGTTGACAGGTTAATCCACACATTTGCAGAAGCTGAATTGTGCAGTTTAATATAATTTTGTTGGTAACAGACCCCTCACAATAGCATAGAACTAATTTTTGAAATAATATTTCATCAGGTTCCTAGAACATGACTTCATTCTCTACAGTATCAAAGACTGAATTATTTCCAAAATATTTCAGTATGGAATTTTGCATTATCTAATCAGTATTTATTCACACTAATTGTGTATTTGTACTGTTCTCCAGTTTCAATTGTATTTGATCATAGAGAACTGTACATTTTCATTTTATCAGTGATTGGATTTGATTTTAGTTCAGGCGCTTGTGAAAGTCCAGATTTAAAAAAGTTGATAGTTATCCATTTATGTTTGTATCCTTATAACTGTATGTGTTCCTTAACATAATAGTTCTAATTACAATTAAAGTTCTGTAAAAGAACTTGTATTATATTTTGCTGTGTGTTGAACTGAACCTTTTTAGATAGACAACAAATGATTTAAACTGTTTTAAATGTATTCTTTTTATGCAGTAAAATTGCCTGGAGTGCGTACATATATTGACCCTCACACTTATGAAGATCCAAACCAAGCTGTTCACGAGTTTGCAAAGGAGATTGATGCATCATGTATTACTATTGAAAGAGTAATAGGAGCAGGTAGGCAAACAGTAATCAATATTTTGACTAATATGTTAACATATGTTCAGTTGTTTTGAAGTGTTTTGTTCGATAGAGGATATTGTTTTTTATCTGTCTTTCCAGGTGAATTTGGAGAAGTGTGTAGTGGACGTCTGAAGCTCCCAGGTAAAAGAGAGATTCCAGTAGCTATCAAAACTCTTAAAGCTGGCTATACTGAAAAACAGCGGAGAGAGTTTTTAGGAGAAGCCAGCATCATGGGACAATTTGATCATCCTAACATCATCCACTTGGAAGGGGTCGTGACCAAAAGTAAGTAAATTAGTGTGAAAATCCTGAATTCTCTAATGCGGAGCATCATTTCAAACCCATTGCACAATTTAAGATTTTTGTTTCACTGTGCACTGCAGACATTTGGAGTTATTTTTGTATTTCTAAATTGGAATTGAGAAAAAAAATGATATGATTAAGTAACAAAGATTTTTTATAAGTTAAAATAATATAAACGCACTCAAAATGTTTTAACTGTTAACGAAGCTGTCATTTTACTGAAAAGTTGTCTTACCCAATTGCTTCATCTTATGTGCATATACTCAAGGCATTTACAGCTGAGTAAACTTAATTACTTTAAAGAAAAACAACAGGTTACTCGGGTTGATTTGATCATCTGGCTAGTTTGTTGGCCTCAGTCCAATTAGACAGGCATTTAGTGAACTACTGTAGATGGGTAAAATGAAAAAGTCCTTCAAGCAGCATCACCACATTCTGGGAGAAGTGGAGTAGATTAGGGTTATAATAGATAAAGGGCATACACAAATACTCTGGTGCTTTACAGACCAAACCAGAGGATCTCATCATATAACATTTTACCATTCTCACACAGTATTTTTTGTTTAATACCTCCTTAATATAATATATCAAATATGCATTCTTTCATTTTTTGGTCTTAGTCTTATTGTCCTCAGTAAAATATGTTTGGAGGCTTGACTTTCCCATAACGTGTCTCAAACTCAGCTGGGGATTCTCTTCTAATTTTCTATTTAGTGTTATAGTTATGTTAGTTGTTTTTTAAAGTAAATCTATTAATTAATCTTTTTAAATATTTTTGTGTTTCTTTAATATAGTAATCTAAAGAAATATCATCCCCAAGGATCCTTTAATATTTTAATATTTAATCCTTGTTAATCTCTTAATGTTTATTATTTAATTTGTTATTTATTATGGTCCGTTATTATATTATTGATGTGTATTGAGCATATTGAATTCATTTTTTTAGAGTACTCTGCTTTGATGTAACTAGTGAAATAGTTGATTGTGTAATACATTTTGTAGTGTTTCTTTGGTCACTATTCTTCTACAGAGATAATCAATTACAAAGGTCTTTATAAAATTAACATGGAAATGTAAAAACAAATCTTAGGAGGTTCCTGTGTTAATTAATTTCTTATCACACAAGCAAGCTAGTGGAAAATGAGTTATTAATACACTTTGTAAGTGTTCTGTGAGTGCACTGTATATCCGTATTAACATTTGCTCAAGCATGGGGTGATAATTGCGCTCTTAGGATGTGAACCAAATGTACTTATTTAAATCCATAACAGGTAAAAAATGTAAGGCACACTATCCTATGGGCATGAATACTCACAATCACTGATCTGTGTTGTTAGTGTTAAATAGTCCAATTCAGATAATCACAATACTGTAAAAAATATTTTAAACGTTCACTGTATAATTGTTATTAAACATTTTGAGCATAGCATATTAAGATCCTTTTTGTTAAATAACTCACATATTTTGTGGCTAATTCTGTTAGCATAGTTTCACTTGTAGAAAAGTTTACATATTTGGATAATGGTCTTGATCCTTTCATTATCAAAAAAACACTTATTCTTGGTAAGGGATGGGTATGAATGTGTATAAAGTATATTAGACCTAAGACAACAAAAGTGCCAGCACCTATAAAAATTGATTTTTCTAAAATACATTTACACATTTGTAACTATGTTTCAAGATACTGTACACTATAGCATATCATTTGAAAATGCCTGTAAATATCAGAAATCAGACACAACATATGTTTTAAAAATAGTCCCGTTCTTGGATAAGTGTTCTGCAATCCCTGCCAAGACCTGGATAGGATACTACTATCCTTCACTGTTTGAGTATACTGATATTTTAAGGTTTCCACTGGGGTTTGTGTCATCTTTTAAACATGTATTGTAATTAATACACATTAGCTTTTTCATAGTTGCTCATTTTATGTAAGTAATTTTATATTTGGAACACATACAGTACACTTTGTGTATTTATAACCTTTATTTCGTTTTCCCCTCAGGCAAACCTGTAATGATTGTAACCGAATACATGGAAAATGGATCTCTTGATACCTTTTTGAAGGTAATATTTTCATTATATTATTAATGCTAATCATATCCTGATAAACTGAGGCTGGATGTTAATGAACTCTATTTGGTAAATGTCTTTACTTATTTTATAAATGACTCTGGATTATAGAATTAACATTTTTTCATTAGGTTTGTATATATACAGTATATAAATGTTTTTTTACATGTACTGTATATTCATGTATATTGTGTGATATAGTATATGTTAAAAGCAGTAGATACTGAAAAAGTTAAGGAGCTACGCAGACAAAAGTGACCAAACTACTGTCAAATAAAAGAGAAGGCAAACTGATTGTTCAACAGTCCAAGGTCACAGACACTGACCTTGCAGCTGATATGAAGTTCTTAGCGTATTTCACCAGATGGAAAAAAGCAAGAACCACATCTTAGAGTAGCTGATTGGTGTCAAATCCTAGATCCTGGTGTTATTAGTACCCTGCTCATAACCCGCTGAATCGCTTTGCTACCCTGTCATATACCTATACGCCTACATGTGCACTGTGCTGTATGTGTACGGGTGTACAATAGATTTGGAGCAAAAATAGGAATATTTGATACCGAATATTGAAGTGTATTTGTGATGATAAAAATGTTTCTTATTTTTATAAAGTACATTTTTGTAACATTTTTTTTTGTATTTGCCGGCAGAAGAATGATGGACAGTTTACAGTCATTCAGCTGGTGGGGATGCTGAGAGGGATTGCATCAGGGATGAGATACCTGTCTGACATGGGCTATGTGCACAGAGACCTTGCTGCAAGAAACATTCTGGTCAACAGTAACCTTGTGTGTAAAGTCTCAGATTTTGGCCTGTCTCGTGTCTTAGAGGACGATCCAGAAGCAGCCTACACAACAAGGGTATGTCCGTAAAAAATATGACTGTGGTTAAAATTAGGTTGAATCTTTTTTCATTTTTAAGTCACCATTATTATAGAACATGTCCTAACCTCCTTTTCCTGTTGTACTCCACTTTTCTATGATTCTTTGTCTTTCTTTAGAATTATTTCTTTTTCCCATAACAGCTGGACAGAATATTTGTTTAGATACTGTTGTATATTGTGTATTTCATAAAGCTGGAAAATACTGCAAATTGACACTGCTCTTGAGCAGTTCTGTTCACATGCAATTTTTATTTGATTTAAATTATTTTTTGACATTTGAATTGGATTGGGGAAAGTGTGACTGATATTAACGTAATTATTCAGAAAATCAGTCGAGGAAGTTCATTATAAGACTGAATAATTAGACTGCTGGCATTAACTGTGAATGTGGTTTGTTCAATACTTGTTTGCTGCTGTATACACAATTTAAAGAGACCCACTGTACTGTATTTGTGTTATCTGCCTGCCATCGCTTCCAAACCTGCAAATTAAGATGTGGATTCTGGAGGCAATACAGAGCTCCGTCAGTTTTTGAAAGGCAAACCTCGAGGACATCCAATTAGCAGTGTGCCTGCTAGTACTTGCAGGTTTCTCTTCCTTGTGACAGGGTGCCTCCTGTCAGTTGTGTTTATTTGAAATTTCTACATCTCTTTCTCATTGCTGCAAGCAGACGTTAAAAAAATATCTCTTCAGCAGTACAGTAGTGGTTTGGAATGAATCTAATTTTATTATTATTAAAAAGGGGGGCAAGATTCCAATCAGATGGACAGCTCCAGAGGCCATTGCATTTCGGAAGTTCACTTCTGCCAGTGATGTGTGGAGCTATGGGATTGTCATGTGGGAAGTGATGTCCTATGGGGAAAGACCTTACTGGGAAATGAGTAACCAAGATGTGAGTATTTTTTATCTTGATTGTTTGTTTGCTTGTTTGTTTTTTGGAGCAATTGGTTCTGTATGTGCTGTCATTGGTATTCTTGTCAGCTTTAAATGTACTGCAGTCTCTTGTTTTGAATAAACATTGTTTTTGTGGATAATGGTAGGGCAATCACGTTGTCCTGAGGTGTTGCTCCTTTTTGCAATCAAAAGATAAAATCAGAATATAAAAAGGTGTGTAAACAGGTGTGTAACAGATGGAAAGAAATTTCATATCTATTTCTTTTTTGGAGGTCTAATTACACTTTTCTCCCAAACCTAATTAACACTTCCTGACATTACACTCATCAAAGGAATGCTTCTTCTTTCCTGCATACTGTTTAGTTTCCTGTATGTTTTAGTCAACTCCCCCAGTTTTGACCTAAACCACTTGGTCTGAGGCAGCAACTGTACTCCATTTTTACAAAACCCTATATACACTGAATTTTCATTGAGAGCAACTGTGCTCAATAAGAAAAAAGCCTGCAATTCGCTTTGAACTTTAATTTTCCTTTAAAGGAAAACTATACTATTTTTTGAGAATCGGATACAAAGTGAGTGCTAAACTAACTGAAGAAACTTATTTTGTACTTATATAATAGAATAACCCATTCTATGCAGTTTGAATGGGATGAAATATCGGGCAGAATGCTGGCCAAACAATTGAAGAGAAATGTGGAAAATAACGTTCTTCGCTTCTTAACTAAAGAGATTGGAACTCCTATCACTAACCAAAATGAGATTAATTCAGCTTTCATACAGTTTTACTCTAATGTTTATAGTTCAGATCATGTGTCTAATGACTCAGATATACAGTCATTTCATAAAAAAAATATTAATCTTTCTTACTGGATGAAGTATATAATACAATGCCTAATGGGAAATCACCTGGGATGGATGGTTTTCCTGTAGAATTTTGAAAACTTTTTTGGTGTCTCTATTTCCAGCCTTATTACCAGCCTTAATCTAATTTTTGTTGCCACTAGAATTACACTCCCTAAACATCTGAATATAGCTTTAGTTTCTTTCATTATTAAAAAAAGATATTCCTTTGCTTAAGTTACCATCAATTAAGCATGCTAAATGTGGATCTTAAATTGATTTGTATTGTCTTGGCTAACAGATTCGATTGAGAGATTCAAAAATTAATTCATTCAAATCAAACTGGCTTCCTCAAAGGAAGACAAGCTTCAACTTGTCAACATGTCTACTAGACCCTTAATTAATTTGATCTGTCACTCCAAACAACTGGCCTCCCCTACTGATGTGGTCTTGCTAGATGCAGAGAAGGCTTTTGATAGAGTCAGTCTGTGTTTTCTTTTTTAGAAATGTGGCACAAAGGGATTTGAGCCTGGCTTTATCCATGGGATTCAAACTGTATAAAACTCTCCTAAAGCCTTAGTCATTACTAATGGCAACATTTCCAGTCCTTTCACACTCTGCTGCAGAATCACACAGGATTGTCTCTCTTTCCTCTGTTATTTGCTATTTTTATTGAACCATTAACTTTAGTAATCAGACAATCTGACTCCATTATCAGTAACTCTGTAGGATCTATGCAATATAAGATTAATATGTATGCATATGATACTCTACTCTATCTACAGAGTCCTTGAATTTCTCCCTGCATCTCTTACACTCATAAATGCTCTTGGTAACATTTCAGGACATAAAGGTAACTGGTGCAAATTGGAAATTATACAGTACCATTGAACAGGTTCAAGTAGAGTTCTCTAGCCAACTCACTATCATTTATGTGGAACACTTCTAGTTTTAGATACCTGATTTAAAAAGCTCCCCTAATCTGTGTGATGTGGCACATTTGAACCTTTTCTTGATTCTGTAATATTGCAATATTGTATCTCCCTTATGAGTTGTATTGCTGCAATAAAAATGAGCATATTTCCTCAGGTTAATTATACACTTTCTGTGCTTCCCAAAAGGATAAAAAACAAAATGGCCTGTTAGGACAAACCTCCTTTATGCAATTTCTGTCAATTTCCACTTTTTACTCAAATGGTTTAGCCAGAATCAATTGGATACACCCTGTTTGTTGGAATTAGAATAGTCTAATAGCCCAGTTCAACTAACCTCTTTGTCTTCTTGGCAATTCTACTAAAAAATTAGATTGTTTAAAAAATCCATGTATCTAATCCACAACTGAAGCAAGGTTTACAGTACAATCCATCAAATTTACACACAACAGATTTTATTCTCCTTGCTTTTTCCGATAACCCTTAATTTACGATTAATAAGAAACCTTATATACTGTATATTTCCCTATTTGCAATTCAAGAGGTGTTATACAGCTTGTAAACTTTGCTTAGCTTAACTTTATTCCTTTTCACAAAGAGCAGTTATATCAAGTCATTAAAACAAAACATTACTTTATTGTCAGTATTACATTATTGTTCAAAGTAAACTAATATATATATAATTGATGCATTTGATTTGTCACGAAATGGGCACATGTCAAAAATATGTCTTGGCTGCATTGGACATTGTAATACATCTACCTAGGAGTTGGGCTTGTGATTTTTCCTCAGATACTTCCGTAGAATTCTGGACTTCATGCGTTAACATATTTAAATGCTTGATTAACTCAAAAATAAAGCGTTTTTGTAAGTTTTACACCACACATTTCACTCAAAGAAAACTTTTTCTTATAGGACTTGTTGACACTGAAATATGTCAACACTGTAGCGAATTAGTACCTGACAATCACCTATATGCTTTCTGGAAATGCAATTCTATTTTTCAATTTGGTCTTAATTACAGTACATCCCACTTGACCCTGCATCATGTCTTATTGGAGACTTCTGTAAATTCAAAACCTCTAAATGCGTGTCCAAATTTTACTGTCATAACCATAGCTAAAATATTATCTTATTAAACTGGAAGGATAAAAAGATTTCACTCTCACAATGGACATCGAGTTTTTTTTTTACTTGAGAAATCTGTGATGTCTATAAATAATCAAAGGTCGACATTACAGGACATTTTGTTGCCATTTATAAATTATTTTAATTTGAATGTCATGTATGCCTGCCCAATTATTTATTATTAGTTTTTCTGACCCTGAATAGATTGACTCCCCTCTTCCTCTATTTTAATCTATTTCCCTTCTTTTGCTATTTTTTGCCTTTAGTATTGTAGACCCTATATGTTCTAGCTTATTCTGTTATTATGTGATTTGGCAGTATGTTTTTATATGTATTTTGTTGACTTAATGTCCTTTTGTAGTTTCAAAGTGTGTTTCGTGCATTAAAAATGAGAACAGAAATGTACTATAAATAAATTGCAGGGGTGAGCAACAGGGGTTATTGTTTTGCTCATTGACTTTATTGAACATGCCCATTGGGGACTTCTGACGCTGCTATAAGAGCCACATCACTTGGAATAGATAACCTTATTCACTGTTGACCAAGAACCCCTGCTGGGTCAGTCACTTGTTCTTTGCATGTGAGTGGAGGGGCGTGTGCATGTGTGATTTTTTGAGAATGTAAATTTGGTCTTGGACAGTAGCCAGAACCGCAGATGTGGGTTAGCTGTGTATTGAACCATAGCAGAGCTCTAAACATTGCTCAAAAAACATATTCCTCTCAAGTCTGGAAAATCTGCCTAGAACTGGAAATGTATTTGCCCAGAGTAATTCTCTACATTATGCTGTGGGTATCCCAGCTTTTAAAATAATATCTCTTTCTATATTTTGTTGAATAATGCTAACCCACTGATTTAAGTCTCCTTATGATTATTCTACTTTGTTAATGAAACAAAAATCTTTAAGGTATTAGTTTCTCCCAAATTCTTGTAACATAAAACTCTTTATTTTCTGTTCAGTCTTTTTTTTTGTGTCAGCACGATAATGAAAAAGTAACAGTAATCATTTAGCAATGTCATATTATATTAAATAGTTTATATTTAATATTCTCACTAATATTCTAGAAACCCAATCAGAATAAACAGCAATCTTAAAAGTGACAGTGTAATACTAAAGAAAAATTACAAATGATTGAAGAATGTACCCTAATTGGCAATTAATTGAATTAATTGAGTAAATAAGCATCTTATGGTACACCAATAAATAACTCCATACAACTCCAATGATCTCATTCAGATGTTTCTTGAGAGAAACCGGGGTTTCAGCTTCACCAGTATGACTGGGTAGGTTGTTCCATATTCCCACAGCCCTCCTGATCTCAATTTTAAACACATTTACATGAAGTTTCCACTTATAGTAATAATGACTTATAGTGCTTTTCTGGACCTTAAACAAAGCGCTTCACAGCTAATTGGGACTCCACTCTGCTACCACCAATGTGCAGCACCCACCTGGATGATATGACAGCAACCAAAGTGTGCCAGGATGTGCTCATAACACATCAGTGAGGACGAAAACAGAGTAATGAAGCCAATTTATATATAAATTGTATTAGTAGGCCATGATTCTGAAGGGCAGGAGGAAATTTAGCCAGAACCCCAGGGTAACAGTCCTACATGTGCCCTGTTGTTCACATTTCACTGGTCATAAGTGTAGAGGTGTTAATCCTTGTGATAAATATGTTTTCCGAATGTTGTAGGGATGCTTCAATATCAAGTAACCAAGTAGACAGAAAATCTGCTCTAAAAGAAGCTATCGAAATGCATTTCTTTCCCGTTGCCTGTTCATATATTTAATATTTATTTTAATATTCATTAATAATCTTTATGAGCTATGGTATTTTGTCATTTTTGTTAATTGGTAAAGTTTACTTGCCAGAATATTTGAGTAGCCCTGGAATATATGGAATATGAATATTATTTTAGTACTTTTTGACCAGTATTTTGTAAGAAACAAACTCCATTTGGGTATTTTCCTTGTGTTGCTTATTTATAGGCTGATGCTTGACACTGGTGAGAAATGTTTATTAAACAATGGTAACAAACTATATACTAGTACTTCATGTGATTTATGCAGTGCACAAAATCACTGCATTCTGGCACAGAACTGCTCTGTCCAAGATGGTGTATTCAGAACAGGACTGACAGGATAAAATCATTGTGAGAAACACCATTTTATTTTTTTTAATTTATCCCAAAAGGAGGAGAAGATTCCAGTCATGATTGTTTCAGATAGGCTGACCTTGTTTTTTGTGCGTGCATGATGGCTTCATCCTAGTTTTAGATCATTAATTCTGCTGCATCATTAATCCTTTCTTGTACTCTTGAGGGAAGTTATTTGATGTTTTATTTAACACCTTCATAAGGATTTCACAGATCTCTTTGGTGTATGAGCCACAGGGCCCTTTTTCCCCAGATTTGCCATCAGGCTTCATTCCTGTGTAGCTCTTGTCTTTGCCTGTGTATTTGTGCTTTTGTCTGTGATGGGATCATAAGCCCACTTGAGTGGTTTGCTGCAGTATAAATATTGCTAAGAGTTTATAGCCGAAGAAGCCTTGCAATTTGCTTGCTTGATTTGTAATCACAGGCATTTAAAACAGTCTAATTTGAGGGTTTCAGCAGAGATTAAGGAAGATGCTACTGTACAGCATGTAAAATAAAAAGTCAAAATCAGAAAGGGATGAGCAGTCTTTAGTAATATGAATGAAACTATTAATATGACTTACTGAAAATTACAGGCATTCTGTTATTTTATATGGTGTATTTTTTATTTTGGAAGATCATTTTTGTTGGCGTAATCACAAGTGCTATATTACTGTATGTGGTTTAAATATGAAAACAAGAGCACTAATACTTTGTTAATTGGAACAGATATTATTATATTTTTTTGTCCCCTGTTTTTAAGAAAAACAGTTTAGAATTTATACTCATAAGTTTGACTTGAATTTCTTTATTGTTTTATTTTGTGTTTATCCTTCAGATTTGCTTTACATGCATAGAGTTTGTGGTGTTTTTATCTTTGGTGTCCTCTGAGTCCTTTGTTATATGTTAAATAAAAGCCTGCACACTATTAATTATTTTTTAATCTCCCCATCTGTTTAACAAAGTAGCATTATAAAATATAATTCTGGGCTGGTATAGCCAGCAGACATATTACCCTGCAACTCACAACTGGCAACCCACTGAAGCTAAGCAGGTGTGAGCCTCCTGGGAAAAACTAAGGTTAGTGCTGGAAGAGGCACTAGTGAGGCCAGTAAGGGGTGCTCACCCTGCAGTCTGTGTGGGTCCTAATGCCACAGTATAGGGACAGGGACACTATGCTGTAAAAATGTGCCGTCCTTTGTATAAAACCGACATCCTAACTCTCTGTGGTCATTAAACATGGCTTCCTAATAATTCTTATATATGAATTGGCTTTATCACTCTGCTCTCCTCTCCCCACTGATAGCTGATGTGTAGTGAGTGTACTGTGTGCACTATGGCTGCTGTTGCATCATTCAGGTGGGTGCTGCACATTGATGGTGGTGGTGGGGAGTCCCCATTACCTGAAAAGCTGTGCAGTATACTGTAAATGTTAGGAATTATTATTATTCTATTATTAAAAATAAATAATATTCTAGGTATTACTGTTCTTCAGTTTTTTAATTTAATATCCCCTTTGTCTATTAGCAAGGAATGCTTCCATGACTCAAAAAATACATTCATTCTGAAAGGCAAGCTTTTATAAGAAGGATCTCAGTTCAGCACCTGCATTCCATCCTCACTATGTAGGTTGTTATGTTGCCTATGCCTTATGGTTATTAAGGCTTTGTGAATGGCATGTGCATATCAGTATCCTCATTAGTGCTGTCTTTCCAATTTATTTAAATATGTCACTATGTGTTTTACATATTCAGAAGATGCTAATGCACCCATTCTCTTATTTCTTAGGTGTGTATATGTTTACTAGCTTCAAAATGCACCTTATTATACTTTGTGAATACTGCAGTTTATTGCACATCTTTGGATAAGATCACATAAGTATTATCATATAAGCTCAGAATCTTTAATTATTGTTTGAAAGCAGAATGTTTGAATAGTATTATCTTGTATATGTCTTCACTTTCAATAGTAGCCTAGATGTCTAATAGCCTAATAGATGTCTATGGTTGCCTTGTGTGTACACTAAATATTTGACATATTAAAATAGTTACACTGAACTTTTTATTTTAATGAACATATACTATGAAAAGCATATTACAATGTGAATCATGTCATTGTGCTGAAATATCTGCATAATCATGACTGCCAATGTCAAGTGTTATTTAAGTTATACATACAATGTTTATCTTTTATCTGTTATCAATCACAAATATTTCTCTCCTTGCTGTACTTTAGACATAGTGGATTCACAGTCTGACTGTACTGCAGTTTGGCTTGATTACAGTGAACATATGGACACATTTGACTGAATCTCCCAACAGGTGATCAAAGCTGTGGAAGAAGGTTATCGCTTGCCTGGGCCCATGGATTGCTCAGCTGCCCTTTACCAGTTGATGATGGATTGCTGGCAGAAAGACAGGAACAGCAGACCCAAGTTTGAAGAAATAGTCAGCTTGTTGGACAAGCTCATCCGCAACCCCAGTAGCTTGAAAACCTTAATAAATGCTTCCAATGGGTAAAGGAACTATTTTTTTAATATACTGAAAGCATTGCAAATAGCTAAAGAATAAAATTAAGTGTTTCTACTTATTTTGCAATATTTCCTAGTAGCTGACTCATTTTTCACAGCTCCTTTTTAAGTTAAACCTGCATAGGTGTTCAGGTTTTTTTTTATCTATTTTTTTCTGTTATTTGGAAACTTCTGCTGATGCATGAATGAAATGTAAATCTGGTCTAGTTATTTAGGAAAATATTTAAAATACAAGAATAAATATCAAAGTATCATGGTAAGCAATGTTCCCTCTAAGAAGTGCGCGTGTGCTTGTGCACACAGGTTATGAAATCCGCGCACATAAGAAATTGAACTGCACACAATAAAATTAAATTCGAAAAATTGAAAAATGCTAAATTGACCACATGAGACAAGCTGCGAGAGGCCCAACTTGGCTGTGTACATTATGATACTTGATACTCTATGCTCTATGACTGGGCTCATTGAATCTCTGTCCCGGCCTTTTGGATCTCTATGCTTCTATGACAATGACTATATTAACATAAAAAATTTTCAGTTTTACAATTTTACATACACAAGAGTTTTTGTCACTGGGGAAAACATTTGCACAACTTGAAATTGTTGTGCACAAAGGCCATTAAAAATTAGAGGGAACATTGATGGTAAGGCTCAGGTATGAAACATGTCACACTTTCAAAGTGGAAACATTACAAAGTATCAAATGCAACTTCCCTAAAAACAAATGCCATCCAGGTAGCACCGATGGAAAGACCCTTTGATAGACTGCCGTGGAATATACCACTGTACTAGCTTGGCTGCAGAGTCACCTGGCAAAAGGTTGTTTTTTTGTCATATTGATCAACATTGGCAAACTAATCTCACACACTTTCTATTGGAACTTACCATTATTTTCCTGAAGTCATGGCATGCTGATTTTAGCACTGTGTGGTCTTGCATTGTACTGCTGAAAAGTTGGAAACCTTCAGATTCAGTTAAAAGAACAAGAAAACTGAAGACTCAAGGATGTCTTTACAATATAGGTAGAGCATTATAATAACAGAAATTGAAGGGGGGCTGGGGGGGTGTAAAGAAAGGGAGATTTATAGGTAGCAGGGTCAAAAAGAGGAGCAAGGGAAAACAATATTGATTTACAGAGAGTTATGGTGACAAATGTACCATTAGAGGAAACAAAGCTTTCTAGAGAGACAGGTAAGATGGAAGAGGTGGAGGTATTTTACAGTATGTTTAAAATAAAAACAGTAGTCGGGCACAGGAACTTAACCAAGATTAATTAAAATTTTCGTAGTCTGTATGATTCAGACCTGTCAAAAATAAATTAAAAGTCGTAGTGTTACGTCCCAGTGTGGTCCGTGTGTGTTTGTTTTGATGCTATGTTCCACACTTCCCGACTTTGGTTGTTCAGCCCCCCATTGGTCCATCATTACACCATTGTTGCCATATTACGTCATCATCAATTAGCTTCTCG